ATATACCTTCAGTTCATATGGCTTTATGTGCAAAATCACCGTTTCTGTTGGTTAAAATGTCCATCTATGTTGGTTCAAACCACCATTTATGTTGGTTTAAATCCCCATCTATCTTAAAAAACAAGGTCCGTTGGTTAAAAAAATAAAACCCCAATCTGTTGGTCAAAATCATTGTCTGCTGATCTAGCATCTCAATAGATCTCCATCTTGCCAGAAGCTCCCAGTTCTCTAGTCCATCCCAAGGTCCATCCCAAGGCACAGTGGGGCTGAAGTACAGTAAACGCAAACTGGCCTGGGTCCAACGGTCGGCTGGAAAATGCTGAAAAAAACATTTAAAAAAACCATAGGGGGATGCGGCTGGATGGAGAAAAAAAAGCGACTTCTTCACATCATATGGTCTACTTATATAATCTACTTGTCATGTCTCACCATTTTTTGGTTTACGCATCATTGGTACGAAGCAAGTTGCGCATCCAAAGTTGGAACTAGAAATCAGACCCCCACGAAGGTGTTCAATTTGTTACCCCTCAACCTGAGCTATCAAAACCCATGGAATGCCTTTCTGTTCACCCCAAAATAGCTGCTTCGATTTATGGATGGAAAATCATAGGCTTTGACCCATCCCCAGTTTATTGTTATTTATGGATTATAACAAATCATGTTTATGGATTATGGAAAATCCCCAAATTCCATCATTCCATCTTCCAGTTTTCTGAGTGATTAGACAAAGCATGTCTAACAGCCTTGCTGCACCCACAGATGTAGCGGACGGTCATCACATCACATTTTGGGGGTCCTGGTGGGAACCCATGGGTGTCTAGACCATCCCCCATAGGGAATCCAAGGGTGTCCCATGATGCCACCGAGATGGGCCCCCCAAAAAACACCAATGGATCCATCGCTATAAATGGATGATATTCCCCTCAAAAATTGTATATCCTTATTTTGTTGCGAGTTACATCTGTTTGCTGGCGAAATCGAGTAAAATCCACATGTTTGCCATGTTTGCTAGTTCAAGCCACATTTTTGCTGCTTGACCGCCCATTTTTGGAAACATCGCGCCTGCGCTTCCGCCACTTGACCCCAATCTGCCTCGAAGGCCTGACGAAATGGGTGTTTCCGTCATTGGGGTACCCCCAAATCATTCATTTTCTGGTTGGTGGTTTCAACCCCTCTGAAAAATATTAGTCAATGGGAAGGATTATTCCATATATTATGGAAAATAAAAAATGTTTGAAACCACCAACCAGTTTTTGTTTTTTGGATTTTCCATGAAATAATTAAACCATCCAGCCGTTGCGATACACAAGTTGGGAAATCCAAAATGACAAACTTGATGGTTAAAATCCCATTTCTATGATTTCTGAAGTGGTATTTTGCTTTTTTTGATGTGACAAAACTTGGGATTTTGAACAACGAACGGGAGATAAAGCCTCGGTCACTCTAATCCTGGCATCTGGCTCCAAGGGAATGGGCCATCTGGGTAAAAAAGTGTCAACAGACCCTAGCCATTTCTTAACTTCAAGAAATGGAGAAGGATGAGAAGGACTTGGAATGGGAGAAATTGATGTAGATAGAAATATGTAAAACAATGCATGAAAATGCTATGTTGTTTCCCTCTGCTACCCTTTGTTTACTGACTATCAATCGATCTTCGTAGCCCGCCTCTCGAATGGCTCGAAGCAGCTCTCCATCATCGACCTGATGGCATGGGTCAAAACTGTGGTAGCCTCGTGAACCCCAAAAAGTTGGTAAATGGATGTTCATTCCAAATACGGTTCCGGTTTTAGATACCTTTAGCCCATCCCCAGCGATGTACATCCCCTTGGGCCGCCTGGGACCCCTTCCATCCCAGGAATCATCAATTATCTAAGGACTGATACTGATATTCAACTGGGGATACAAGTAACTTGCTGCCGTGAATGTCACCCTCCGGTAATTTAAGATAATTATTGAAATTGGCCCAAGTATAGATTATTTACCTACTAAAAACGTAATCTTCTGTAGCTATATTAAATTCCCAGAGGGCAGCCGGAGACCTATGGCACGTACCCGGCCACTGCTGGGCAGCACTTCGAAGAGGAGGAACCTCGTTTACGGCAGGGGGTTCATCCACTGTCGTTACCCTTCAGCAATCAAACAAGGGAAAAGGACATCTCCTACAAGTGAAGTTTTTAATGGGAAAATAACATTTCTATGTATCCATAATATATAAATTAAGGAGAATCCATTGCCATGTTTGATTGCTACAAGTTCATCGGGATTGGTCAAAACATGTCAAAACCCTCCTGTTCACATCAAAATAGCTGGGATTCAAGGACATTCATTCCCCCAATGATTATATTTATAGGTAAGTAGGTATTGATGGATGGCAAACGATCCTGTGTTCCATCAACAACTGATCACTCACCCATTAGTCACATGATTATTCCATTTATGATTTTGAGTAATTACTGTGTCCGTTGAACCGGCATTGATTAACTTTCCATCAATCATCCAAATTGTTGTCAGTAAAACCCCCAATTTATGCTACTTGAATTCCCATTCGATCAATTCAACCAACTACTGTGAAACATGGACAATTTCACCATTGACTACCCTCTGGTAATTTAACATAGCTATGGAAAATCACCATTTATAGTGAATTTTCCCATTAAAAATGGTAATTTTCCAGTTCGCAAACTGTTAAATTACCATTGACTACCATTCATTCACCATCAAAAACACCGTTTTTTTGTATACCATCCAACCATCCAACCGAGGTTAAGCCGGCGGTTCAACGCCTCCGTTTCTGCGCCACCATCCCGATGCGCTAAGCGAGCGTTCATGCGCTAAGCCCCAGAAACCAGGGTGGATGTAGGGGATGAAAGCACCTATTTGGGAACATAGAATGGGGGTGTTTAACAATAGGGGATGAGATTCTTCCCACAAGAACCCGAAAAATCATGGAAGATTATGGGAATAGAGGTGCCATCATTGGGGGGTCCCTATAAATTCTGTGGAAATGGTGTCTAGGGTAAAATTGTGTGTTTTTTTTCCGTTTGACTTACAGTAAAGCGCATGTGATCTGTCCTCGCACTTCAGATCAGGCTGCGCTGTCGACGCAGGCAGTCTCAATCCAGCTTCACACACATGAAGTGCAGAAGTGTTGCATCAAATAATCATAAATAATCATAATGTGTTCCTGTGTGCTAGCTTTGTGTCGAAGATAAGTTAATGCAAGATAATCTCCACCATAACTTATCCATTCCATGGCTCTGTGGATGCCTGAAATCCCCTGGTGATACCCCTGGTGATACCCTCTATATCCATAGGGAAGCGGAAAGGGAAAGCCATAGTTTCAGAAGGAAAACATCTAGAAATGGTGGATAAGCGTGGATGAGCTTCAGGGATCCATATCCATGATTATCCATGCGCCGCAACAGGATCCAAAATTGAGGTTTCACCCAAGGCATCCAAAATTTTCCGGGCTTCTGGAGCCCATCCCTGTGCGGTACAAAAAACGTCGGATTTGTAGCTACTCTGTCTATATCTTATATATATATACTGTGTATGTATATATAAAATATATAATTATAATATATATATATATACGTATAGTCTACTATAATTACTTGAAAGACGTAAAACAATATAAAACAATCAGAATTGGTGGTTTCCAATAGCTCTTTGACCGCTCTGACATGTTTGACCCTTTTCCCACCATTGGCGCGACACAGACCGCGGGGGAAGACGCGTACCATAGCGCTTCATGACGCAATAGACGGTCTCCGGCACATACTCCATGACCTGGAAGGGCGCCCTTCGGATCATTTTTCGAAATGGAAAGTGGGACTTGAAACCATAATTGGATAGGGATTTAACATATATTTAACTGATTTAAGCAACTTAAAATAGGTATCTAAACCATCTGAAATAGGCATAAAACACCAAGAAATGCTTGCGGCATTTAACAGTGGATTTTCCGGGAACATCTGCAGGATTTCTGAGGTCAAGTTACTAGCAGCTAGTTCCATTCCGACTCCTTTCCCAAACACGATGGAAAATCACAATTTTTAATGGGGAAACTGAGCTGGTGATTTATTGGTGATTTAATGGGATTTCATGGGATTTCATGGTGATTTAGTGGGATCTAATAGTGATTAATGGAGGTTTACCCTCTGGTAAACGTTTACAAAAAACTATGGAACATCACCATTTTATAGCTGGGTAAACCAACTATTTAACTATGGGCCATTTTCAATAGCTATGTAACAAATTACCGGAGGGTAATCCTTATCAAAACGGATTGATGGCCATCGCCCATTACCAGTATCAGTATATAATCCCCGAAGAACTGAGTATACAATCCAACTGATGCAACTATTGACCATGGCACATATGTTATAACCCCGGTCTCTATGGGACCCGTGTTTCGGAACGAAGTGGATCACCAGGGTAAGGCTTACCAGGATTCTTGGGATCCTAAAGGAGTAGGAAGGTTGGTGCAGAAGGCTAGAACTACCTGTCACTGACTGAATCCTTATCACGGACTGGGAAATTTCTCTGGGTTACCAAGATTTCTTCGGAATTCCCTGGTTTGGATGTACAAACAATTTTAGGATCGTCCTAATAGTGAAGATTTGATGCCACCAAAAGTCATGATGGTGAGATGCCAGATATTGAAGGGACATACTATCTTGCTGCATCCGGGGCTAATTGCTACACCGAAATTGCTACACAATAGCCATCCCATGACGAGTCGGTGTCCTCTCCCATCAGGCAAGGATCCATGTTCAGGTACAGTTCATCCACCAAATCTCCGGAGGTGTAGAACGCATGCTGCGAAAAGCGCGGGAAGGGAAGGGGATGCGAAGTGGAGCCCTCATCTTGACACATGACACAGCTCTTTGGTTGCCACTGCTGAATCCAAAAAAACATTCTAAACACTGAGAATATTTAGTGGAATATGATGGAATATGCACAATCATATAAGAATCATATACATCAATTGTGGGGCATCAATTCTGTTGGGCCTTTAAGGTCACGATGTTGGGATGGTGCATCTCCCGCCACACTTGCAGCTCTCGATTCCGGTAGCGCCGATCCACAAAGACCTGGGCTTAGAAGGCGAAAAAAACAGGAGATATGTGGAGAATTCTGGAGAGATACTGTTATAACAATAGTATACAATAGGTATAGGTTGTATCTTATTTTATATCCCAACTGTTTTTTCTTTTAAGAAAAAAACATGGTGATTGTTGTTCCGCTTCGCAGGGTGTTTATAACCATGTTGATTTGTTTTTCTTGAGTATGAATCATACAGCCAGCTTGCACCGTCATGATCCTTGCGCTTACGATCTATGGCTCGTGCCCCAAACAAATCCCGTTGCTGAAATGTACTTGATCGATCTGTTCCAATTTGGGGCCACAAAAAACACTTGCCATGTTTCGGTTCCGATCTAATTTTTGTACACCAAAAAACGAGCCTTCTTTTGACACCCACATTTGGATTTCAGATTTGGCACTCCATTCCACAGCATGGTTCAAAACCTCATGACCAACCCTTCCTTTTCATGGCCATAAGTTGGGGCCCCATCCCCCCAATTGCTTGAGACACCCCCAATTTGATAGGCCATGGTAAATTCCCTTCTGATGGTGAAATCCGTTTTTTCTGTTTAAAAACCATATTATTAACAGATGAAACCCATCTGTTTGATGACTAGATCCCCAATTTCATGGAAAATTAGATGTTTCTAATTTTAGATGATTATATAATTATATATAACATTGTATATAACATTATATAACATTGTATATATATATATATCATCATATCAGTTCCTGATGTTTAATTCATCATCTGTTAAACAATCATGAAATCCCCACCTTCTTGATGGCCACCGTCTCGTTGGTCTCCACGATGTGTGCGGAGTACCTAGAGCTGATCGATTTCTGGTTCTTCGAATGGAGAAAATGAGAATATTTAAATAGCTGTTAATCCATTGGAATTTGGACCAAATCCATTTCTAGCTGTTGGAAACTTGGATCATCACCACACCCAAAGAATCTTTGATTCTTTTGGATGGTGAAAACATGGTTTTCTTCAGACTGTCTCCTTCCAAATGGAGTTGTCCAAAAATGCTGGATCTTTGAATGGGGAACCTTTCTAAAGCGTTGGATTTTGGGGTTACCCCATTGTTGGCTGAAATTTATATCTTGCGACTGAAATTACCTTGTGACCACGTACCTGACTCATCCTCTGCTCATCACGGGCAAGGGTGAAGCTATGGAAAAAAAAGGGGGATTCGGATAATTTTGGTCACCATCCACTTGGGGCACACCTATATATCTCTATGGAATCGTTTGCCCCCCCGATTCATAGTACCTGGGGCGACAACGTGGGGCTACACATCATCCAGGCCGTGGCAAAAGCCTGAAATCGTTCCCGTGAAAAACATACCTGTTGTGTTGTGGTTGCATTCTACAGATCTACATATGACTACATACCTACATGTGCACATATATGTCACACCTGTATATAGTGTGACCATTTAGTATATATATATACATATAATCATATATGTATCACATAATATATAATATACGATATAATATAATATATCATATAATATAATATAATATATAATATAATATAATATAATATAATAATATAATATAATATAATATAATGATATAATATAATACAATATAATATAATATAATATAATAAATTATAATATAATATAATATAATATAGATATATTAGTATATATATATATTATTTATCATATTTATCATATTTATCAAATTTATCCTATCCATCATATTTATCATATTTATTATATTTATCATATTTATCATATCTATCATATGCATATATATATATATCTTATATATACATATATATATCATATATAAATATATATATCTTATATATATATATATGTCATATATATATGATATATATATATCATATATATATCATATGTATATATATATATATCATACATATATATATATATCATATATATCTATATCATATATATATCATATGTATATATATATATCATACATATATATATATCATATATATCTATATATATATATCATATATATCTATATAGATATACACAATCATATCCTGATTTGACCGGACGTACCATCGCCAGTCCGCTTACCCAACAGGGCACACAATCCCAAAGGTTCCATTGCCAATGACACGCTCCGCGTTGTAGGTACACTGACACGTTGGAGATGGGCCCGGTGTCAAACATGGCTGGGAAAACCTCGAACGAAAATCCATGGAGGTGTTATAATCTTAACATAAATCATCAATGGCTGGTATTTCACGTGTTTGATTATCGGAGGAATGATCATAATCAACAATGATCAAACAAGAAGTTTCGCCAAATCTATGGCCGGCTGAGTCACTATAAAAATGTCTCGTGATGGAGACGTATAGATATGAGATGACCCACACCGAAGGAATTCATAATCAACCCCCCCCCTGCGAGCCCCCCCCTGCGAGTTGTCGTTCAATTCCCAACAAAGAAACACAATCATAACATAAATGATGATAGCTTTGTTGATATCCCATCTTTGCTGGTGCATACTATCCTCTCTCCCCCAGCCCCCCAATTTTTGTTTGGTTATACTATCCCCACCAGCATCGCTTGTGATTTATCACTGAACATTTTGCCGTATTTGGAGGTTGCTGTCTGCATTTGTGCGTGTATAAGAATGAGTCCATACTTTATGTGTTTGAAGCAGACCGGGCTCGGTTCAAGTCACCAATGATCTATCGAACATAATCTAAACCAGAAAAAAGAAAAATTGTACGTCCATCGTTGTTTCCCATAGAGCGATACTACATGTTTTGGAGCAATGCAAGATATAAATATCTTATAATATAGTTATAGTTGTTATCTATGTGGCCAATGTGTTAATGATTGTGTACCATGTTTTTTTGCATCATATTTGATGCGTCTCACCGGCCACGAATCTTGGCTAAAACCTCCATCCATTGCTGGAAGCACCTGCTGTTCTTCCTCTTCCCTTGGAGTGCGAAGCAGTGATCCGTCGACCCATGCATCTAGGATGATACTGTGAGGCAGTGATCATATACGCATGTATATATTATACTATCATATATATATATATGTGTGTATTGTATATGTATATATATATATACATTGTATTTATAGATATACATACATGTATGTATATATATACACATGCATGTATATATGTATATATACATACATTTATATACATACATACATACATACATACATACATACATAACATTACATTACATTACATTACATTACATTACATTACATTACATTACATACATACATACATACACACATGTATTTAATTATATGTATATAAGTGTGAATATATATATATATGTGTGCATATGTATATATATGTGTGTTTATGCCTATGCATATACATATATGTATATATATGAACATTTATGAACATATGTATATACATGAATATGTATATATATATATGCCTATAGTCATATATGTCAATGTCATATAGTCGATCTGATAGAAAATTGTACCCGGTACCACAATTCTAATGTACTGATCACTACCACCATCCATCCAACTGCAGGCTAAGCAGCTGGAAGGCTTCCTGTCCGAGAATTTCAGGGACCATCAACATCAACACTTGGGGAGTAACCCTATGATAGGCCCTACTGTGAATTTTTCAGAAATCCTGCACCACCTTGGATGGTTGAAACCCTATAAATAATGGGATGAAATACCTATCAGCTGGTGCAGGATTTCTTCCATCCACAGTATGAATCATTGGAATTGAACGAGTCGTAGCCTCCAGAAATCAATCTGGCATCACTTTGGTTTCTGACCCAGCATTTACAACCTGGGATGACCATCCAAATATGTTGAATCGGTTATACCAAAATCGATCTGGAAAACCTAACCGAAGAATGGGATGGTCGGATGGTCAGCCTGGCTTCAACGAGCCAGTCCAGTTCAATGGCTTCGGCTTCCTTCGGATTCCTTCACTCTTTTGAGATCCTCATTGTTTCATATTGTTTCTGCATTGAATCCCTTCAGTATCACTATCCACACCAAGATTTACCCGGTGATCGAACATGGCAATGGTTATGTTTTCCATTAAGATTGGGAAGATTGGGATTACCCAGACCACATGTTTGCTGGGGACCCACTCAGGCCGCTTTTTCCAAGGATGAGACGGCGACGATTTCAACGAATTTCATCTGCCAATCCCTGGCATCACAGCCCAGGCTTTGTTACCTGTAAAGAAGGTCGGACGGACACCAGCAACCTGTTTATATATGTTATATGAGGTTGGTTGGTTGGTTGGCTGTTTGGTTGGTTGGTTGGTTGTTTGGTTGGTTGGCTGGGTGGTTGGCTGGGTGGTTGGTTGATTGGTTGGTGAATTCCACTTCTATAGTGCTAGCTGATTCCATTTTTCACTGAAGTTCCATGGTCAAGGTATGTGTTAATAATGTTCAGGTCATCGGGTCATCTGCAAGATCCAACAGTTTACCACGTTCACGGCTGGGATGGGCAGAGGTGTCAAATGCAGTGACATTTGACGTGTCGCTTTCAGGTCGTCTTCACAAACTCCTCCCACGCCACAGCGCCGCAACCCGTCTGAGGTTCACTCGGATTGTCATTTCTACTCGGCTGGAAAACAAACAAACCAAAAAAAATCGCAAAGGCGCACAGCGTGTCGCCTGGACTGGTTAAAACTCAATGTTTGCTGGTTGAAACCCATTTTCATTGGTTAAAGTCCGGTCAAACCTCGAAGGTTGCCGCATGTTTGCTGATTTACCCATGTGTTTGACAAATGTTTTCGTACTAAAGAGATGATGGCTACTTCTAGAATTATGTTGGTTCAAACCTTGTTTTCGTGGTTGAAACCTTATCTCTTCTCGAACTCCCACGTACTTAAATACCAAGTGTTGCTTCGCAATTCTCTTTCGTCAAACTATGCAAAGTCCTTACTTTTGTCACCAAAATCCTCATGTTTGCTGATTGAACCCCTACTTTTACTGCTTGAATACCATCTTTTTCTGCTGAAATACCAATTTCTGCTGGTGAAACCACGTAAACTCACCATGTTTCTCCCAGTTTTCTCCATTTTCACCGGGTGAACCCAGAGGCTTCCACAGTACCGGGTCGCACTGGCCCCTGCAGACTCTGCTGCACGTGAGGTCCATGGTCAGTCGTTGGCTAAGTCAGCTGCCATGGCCAAATGTCGGGGGAAATTTGGGACTTAGCGAAAAAAATGTGATTTGACCATGAAAATTTGGATTTCATGAAGAAAAATGATGGGCTTCAGCAAGAGAAATGAGGGTGATTTCATCATTAAAACATATTAAAACATATTAAAACATATTAAAACAATGGAATTTCAACCAACAACACTTCCCTAACCAACAGACAGGGGACTTTACCAACGTGGTTTTCACCAACAAGCATGAGCTGCAAACTTGCAGAAAACCATGGTTTTCACCCCGAGTAAAGAAAGGGTTTCCGGTTGCAACTTTCCTCAAAGCAATTCTGGGTGGGCCAGGGGGTGGATCATTTTGGCCCACAGCCATATGGTTTGTCTTCAATTCGCTATGGGCCTTGATAGATTTGATAGCCATGAAAACATTCGGAAATGAGGTTTTAAGTAAGTTTGGAATGGTGGTTCTAAAAAATATGGACAAAATATGGACTTCACCAGCAAAAAGTTTGAGTTTTACCAGCAAGAATTGAGCGTTAGCCAACAAATATAGGTTACCCAAGGATGTCATCGACAAAAAGGCAAGACCTATCCCAGGAACCATGAATTTCGACGGTATCCAAAATGTTATCCACCAGAAGCTTGTATGACCACCAAAACACCAGGAAGATCTCATCAAAATCAGTTTCACAGTGGGTTTTGGGACATCGCAACGATTCGCATCGATATTCGTAACAGTTCCATTTCTGTCTTACGTGTGTTTCCAGGGCAGCGGGGTCATGCCCCTGACTGGCCAAGAGGTCTGTGTCTACTCAGCGCCTCAGTCTCTTGCTGAGTCGGTTGTTTCGGACTGCGCAGCAGCGCTGGAAATTGGTAACTTGTGAAATTTCCGATTGCCTCTAGTGATCCAACATCTTGACCTAGGACATATTCCCATGTTTATGGGAAAAAAAGATGCTTGATAGCGGATCAAAAATGGATCAAAACATGCGTATATTTGTTCATGGTGATGTTGGATTCCTTTTTTGACTTGGCGCCTGAGAACCATTTCCCTTCTGCTGGAAAAAAGTATGAGGACCAGGTCACAATAGCTCGCTTACGCCTCTCGGCTGGTGGTTGAGCAGTCGCCAAGACTAAACAACAACGACATCCAAACATCGCTTCAGCAGCTGGACTTCTCCCGGCGTCAATTAGATACTGTATCATGTGGAAAAGGATTATATACAGTACATATATTTATATTTATATTCTTATATCATACATTCCTAAAACATATATACTACATCATAGTACATACATGCATGCATGCATTGCATTACATTGCATTGCATTGCATTACATTACATTACATTAGATTAGATTACATTACATTACATTACATATCATGTATATATATGATTATATATACATACGGCTCCAACCACCAACCAACTTTTCTCATGTCGTGAAAGCATGAATTCCCATTGCACTCTTCGACACCTCCGCGTTTTTTTGGTCCTCGGAGCCAAGGTGCATACCAGCTGCGCATTGTGCGCGCATACGATCTCTGAAAATCCGAAAAAAATCGCAGTGTTTTGGGGATATATATATATATAGTGGGATTAAAACCTATGGTATCCTTTGATATTATGGGGATATAGCAACAATAGGGTTTTTGAGCAGGATTTAATAGGGATGTAATGAGAAATGAAATATAACCAACCAAAACAAAAATTGCGTGTGCCTGACAATAGCGTATACCTCCCAAAATTGTTATTTTAGTAGGGAAAAATTGTCATAAACCATCAACATGTGGGGTATATTTTCCGACAAACCCATATGGGTATGAGTTAGAACGCATGGAATTCCTTTCAGTTCACACCAAAACAGTTTGTGTTACAAAGGTAAATGAATATGCATTCCCCCCAAATATGGCGTAGTAGGTTTTGAATGGTTTTGATCCTTCCCCAAATTTCTGCATTTTTTCTTTGCTCTGCCGAAAGAAAACCTCGAAGAAATGAAAACCGGTCCCGTTTTTGAGTAGGAAAACATAATT